TAAATTGCAGTGCCAGTGGTGACTCATCATTGAAAATGTTTTGTCTAGGCTTAAGATGCAATCTGGATGAAAGCATTAAATACTGCTTATCTCATGGTTGTCGATTTTGGGGGTCTACCAGGTCTTGCTTGGTTGTTAGGAGTTCCATGTTCAATGTACCTTTAACAAATTCTTGAATTCCAGTTTTATTTATTTATTTATTTATTTATTTATTTATTTACTTACTTATTTATTTTGCCCCATATGATAAATGGATCATTAGAAATTATCCTTACTGACATAAATCTTGCTACATAAACTTACATTAAAGTTAAAAACATTATTTCCTTCTCTTGTAAAGAGATAAGGAAATATCTATTTCTCGTATCTATTCTCTTGTTCCATAGATACAAGGTTTTGTTGTTTTGTTGAAATAGCAATATATAATTAATATATAAGCTGTACTTGTTTTACTACATCACATTTTACCAAAAAACATGATGATTTCCTGAAGAGGGGTGAGATATGTAAAAGTCCACAGTGTTAGCTGTACTAGGTAACATGATGAGTAATATAGTTGATATTTTTAACATTTTACGGTGCTAGCTCATTGTATAATTGGAATCACATTTCCACATATATATATGAAAATGCCTCCAAGATCTGTCCTATAGACATTAAATGTGCCCTCAGTTGTAGCAGAGAGTTTATCTCCTTTTTCTTCTTTGAGAGCAAGAGAGAGGTGCACAGTGCTTGTAGTTTGTCTGTGACCTCAGCTAGCCTTGTTTTAGAGCCACACCCATCTGGAGCACAGTGAGATACACTGTAGAGACTGCCACCCCCCCCCCACGCATACATACATACTAGAGGTGTGAAAATGCACTGATGCATCATAATGCATTGATTGGAAGGCATTGATTCAACTGCATCAGTGTTACAATAGATTATGATAATATTTAATAAGACGTTTTTGACCAAAATACTGTTCAAATGTATAACACCCCTCCAAAAAGCAAAGGTTTAAGCCCTTACATGGCCAGGGCCCACCAAGTTTTATTACACACTACAACATAAGAGTAGCTCATCTAGATTGCATCGAAGTCCTTGTAGTTACAGAATAATAAGGCTTTTAAGAGGTTAATGTCTATATTGACCATAAGATGCAGATCAGAAGTGAACTGAGATGCTGTATGCTCTGTTCATACCAGCAGATGCAGAAATAGATGCAAAAGTGCAAAAAAAAAGTGGTGTATTGAATTTATTGTCTATTCTGCCTCAAATCCTTTAGAAGTATAGGCACATTTATTTATTCACTGTATTTTTTTACATACAAAGCACCTTATACTCACTCACTCATGTTTAGCAGGCTAAAAATTCTCCACAAGGGGGTTCCATTAGCAATCCAACAGTTTTTGCTGCCTAATAAGAGCAGTGCCTCACAATGACACTGTGAGTTCTTGTTAAATGATTTTGAGGTTTAAGATGTTATGATGCACTGAATCATTCTCTAAAAATCAGAGTCAAATTCATGGCTCTCGAGCATCTAATCATTTGCTCTATCATTGGGAAATTGTGAGGTCGATCCCTGGGGATTGCACAGCCAGCTGTAGCTGGGAGACCAAGAGAGAAATTCTTGCCTCACTCTCTCTGGGTTTGCCTGACCCTCCCTCTCCGCATCTCTCAGTGTGATGTCAGCCAACACAGGTGTCTGTTAGCTGAGTGTTGAGTCTTTCATATCTCCTAGACAACAATGAGATCTGCAAAAGGGCTTTTGCTTAAGTCTCCAGCTGCTCAGATGTTTCTACTGAGCAAAAGACCTCAGCAATCGCGTGTGTCTTCTTTTTTAATGGAGATCTCAATAAAGTCTCATGTTGTGATAGATTTGTAGAGATAATAACACTCATCTTTATCTACAACTGAACTCTCATCACTCTCATTTAAATTTTTTTTGTCTAATGCTATTTCTCCTAAAGAAATTGTCTCCTGAGCCATCAAATAGAAACATTTGAGCAGTGAAGTGTTCCTGTGGGAAGGGTTTTTTTGTGCAGGTATGAGTTTATTTGCTAGGATAGTCCTGCTTTGATGTGTGAGATATGCAACAAAAGACATGTTACACTTCAGCAGTGTGTAAATCCCATCAAATATTGATGAAATCTCTCTCTCTCTCTCTCTCTCTCTCTCTCTCTCTCTCTTTGTAGCCAGTCAGTCTGTGAGAGTAGCAGGGCAGTCCGCCTGTAGGCTCTCTGCTATTCCCTACAGACGCACACACACAGATACACACATGCTGGCGTGGAGGAGGATCAGAACAGGGATGGAAAGACAGGGAGAGAGAGAGAGAGAGAGCGAGAGAGAGAGAGAGAGAGAGAGAGAGAGAGAGAGAGAGAGTAAAGGAAGTAGGCACTGTAATAACACACTGCAGGAGGAGAAACATGCAGATACAGCGATTACATGATGAAACACCAGATTTGGGCCACATGCAACAATGAAAGTGAACGATATGCTATTACTGGGTGAGTCTGCAAACTCAAGGCTTTTGTTTCCTTTCAGTGTTCCTTGTAAACAGCATGTATATCTTGTTAACTTCTAGCAAAAGTGGGCCCACCATAACCCACTGCACAGGAGGTGGTCCAGCACTTCAGGACATTTTTGACGTTTTCTTTGAAGAACTTCTGTTTATCGAGATGGTGTGGTAGACGATGTTCAGCTATGTGACGTCAGTCAGATGGAGATCAGTTGAATTAAACAGCAGATCCTCACGTCACAGCATGACGACCAGAAACGAGGCTGACTTAATGACTTAATGACCTGAAAGCTTTTACCTGAGCTGCTGGGAGGAGGCAAATGGAGAGAGAAAGGAAAGGAAAGAGAGAGAGAAAGAAGGGAGGGCCATAGAGATATGTAGACATAAAGGGAGATAATGACAGAGAGAGAGAGAGAGAGAGAGAGAGAGAGAGAGAGAAGGAGAAAGAAATAGGAAGGGAAAGAGAGAGTGATAAAGAAAGAAAGAAGGCAGAATGGGAAGAGAGACATGGAGATAGAGAAAGGTAGGAAGGGAGGGGGAGAGAGTGAAGAAGAAAGAAGAAGGGTGGGAGAGAGAAGAGGGAAGGGAGGGAGAGGAAAGAGAAAGAAAAAGAAGATTGGCATACACATCAAAGAGAAAAAATGAAGGGACAGACAGTGAGAGAAAAGAACAAGAAGGAGAGGGAAAGAAAGAAAGGATACAGAAAGGAGAAAGAGAAAAGAAGAAAAGGTTTAGGAGAAGACAGCAGAGAAAAGAGGGAGGGAGAAGAAGAGGAAGAAGGGGAGAAAAGAAAACTAAGGGCAATAAAGAAGGAGAGATGGGGAGAGAGAGGGAGAAATAGGAAGGCAGAGAGGTAAAGAAGAGAGGGAGAATGGAGAGAGAAAGGGAGAGACTAAGATGGAGAGAGATGGGAAGGAAAGGCAGATAAAAAGGGCAAGAGAGGGAGAAGAAAGAGCAGGGGTCGAAGGAAGGGAGAAAGAAGAGAGAGATATGAATGGAGCAAGAAAAAGAATGAGAAAGAAGAAAGGATGGGAGAAAAAGAAAAAGAATGGAAGCAGAAAGAGAAAGAGAGAAGGAGAGAGAGATAGAGAGGAGTAAAAAAGTGATAGATAGAAAAGGAGAGAGAGATAGAGATAGGACATAGCAGATAAACAGAAAGAAGTGAAGGTAAGATGTGGAAGAGGAGAGTGAGAAAGATGAGGAAAGAGGGAAAGACAGGAGGGAGAGGAAGGGAGAGAGAAAGATGGAAGGGAGAGAGGGAAAGACAGCAGAGAAAAGTAGGGATGAGAAGAGAGAAGGAGATAAAGACAGAAAGAGAAAGAAGGGAGAAACAGAAACAGAACGAAAAGGAGGGAGAAGAAAACGTGGGATAAAAAAGAGGGAAGGAAAGAGTGAGAAACAGGAAAGTACAGAGAAAGAAGAGAGAGAGATCAAAAAGGGAAAGCAAAAGAAGATGCAGGTAAACAGAAATAGATGGGAGGGAGAAAGGGAGAAGAAGAGAGGAAAAGAAGGGAGGGTAAGAGAGAAGGAGATACAGGGAGAGAGAGGGAAATGAGAAGGGAACAGAAATAGACAGAAAGACATAAAGAAAGTGAAGGAAAAAAGGAATAAGAGAGAGAAGGAAGTGAAAGAGGAAAGAAGGGAGGGAAGAACAACGAAAGAGAAATCAAACAGGAAAGGCGAGAGAAGATCCAGGTAAACAGAGAGAGAGAGAGAGAGAGAGAGAGCGCATGCTGTAGATCGCCGCTCTCGCTGAGCGCAGTTTAGCTGTATTAAAGCTGTACACTGTTGCTCGTGCTCGCCTCTCGTTGCGCGGCGCATAAACGGAACTGCTCGAGCGGCGGACTGTGGGAGTAGCGGAGCTCCGCCAGCAGCAGGAGCGCGTCACGTGACCACCCCGCGTCTCGCGCCTCTGTCTGAGCCCCCATCCTCCACCTCCCTCCCTTGCTCGCTCCTCTGCTCCCCCTCCCCCTCCTTTCTCCTCCGCCCCGTGGCGCGTCACGCTGTCTATTTCAGCACGAGCGGCAGGTAACAGCAGCGCGCGGATTGGAAGCTCTGATCCGAGAGTGATGCAGCACAGGGAGCGGCCGCGTTTCGTCCTCGGTGTGTACATGACTGTGTGTGTGCGTGCGTGTGTGTGTGTATGTATGTGTGCTCGCACTAAAGCTTGTACTGTATTGTATATCCGTTTCACGGGGTTACTCGGCTCGAGGCAGCGCAGTTGTTGCTCGGACGCGCGCGACCCCTTTGTTGCATTTACGTTTCCGCGCGCGCTGCCTACCGAGAGATTTCGCGTCGTGTGTGTGTATGTCTGTCTGTGTGTGTGTATGTGTACATGTGTGTGTGCGCGCGTGCGCTTAACGAACGGGGTGTTGTTTTCTCTCCAACAGCGGAACCGCCTCGCGCCTCTCTCCTTAAATGACCCGCCGGAGGGGCTCGCGCGCTCCCGCCCGGATCATGGCATGCGCTTCATCCCGCAGCTGCACACGCGCCACTGAACATGGGGCTCATCAGGGCCAGGAATGGCGGCGGCATCGGCGGCGGCGGCGCTGAGGAGGAGGAGGCGGCGCGCGACAGCGGCAGCGGCAAGAGGCGGAGGAGCACGCTGGCTGGCGAGCTGGAGGCGTGCGCGGGCCACGAGCGGGACGGCGCGCTGCTGCTGGCGGGCGCGGGCGCGGGCGCCGGCAGGGTGGCGGACTTCAAGCGCGGCTCGCAGAACATCGGGCTGCTCGCCAAAACCCCGCTGGGCTACACGCGCCCCGTCAAGAGGAACAACGCGCGCAAGCGGCGCATCCAGAACCTCATCTACGACGCGCTCGAGAGACCGCGAGGATGGGCGCTGCTCTACCACGCGTTTGTGTAAGTGCTCTCGGATTCACACACACTTCATACGCGCGCGCTCGAGCACACACACAGAGCCCTTCTGAGCACTCAGAGAAAATGTAAGAGAGAGAGAGAGGGAGAGAGAGAGAGAGAGAGCTCTTTGCCATGCATGCACTTCCATAGCCATTCTTACACTCTTTAAAGAGTACCAGTTGAGAAACACTGAGAACTGTCTTCGTGCACTTTTACTTTAATAGCAAAAGAGCAGAACCAGGAAAGATACTAATCACTACAGAAGGAATTCTCTGACCAACTTCTTGTCTTCAGTTGAGAAGCATCTGAATGCATAGTCACAATGTATTGGTTTTATGGTTGGGACTACACTGCATGGTGGTAGATCTGTAGGAGAAAGTTTGGAGTTAACTCAATGGACTTCATCATTGGGCTAAGTCCCTTTGCTTTTGTTGCTTTTAATTGCTTTTAATACTGCTAGTGTTGTTGATTACTTATACATATATATATATATTATATTTATATATTATATACATTATCTACACTCATTGGGTCTATTTACCTATGATGGTCCTGTGGTCCTGACCATTGAAGAACAGAGTGAAAGGGGGCTAAAAATGCAGAGAAACAGATGGACTACATTCTGTAATGGTAGAACGCCTAGATGGTAAATAGAGCTGATAAAATCGACAATGAGTGTAGTAACAATGAGGTGGTTTTAATGAACTGGCCGGTTGGGGTGTGTATGTGTGTGTGTGTGTCAAAAGCAGAAGCGACTGACGATGGTGTGCCTTATATTATCAGGCTCTGCAGGGTGGTACATCTCCAGAAGCTGGGTAACACTTTGTTCTTTAAAGATGTTGTAAAGCTTTGCTGGTTTCAGGAAGCTTGTCTTTCAAAGCTTGTCTGTGCTCTCAGACTATGCCAACATCAGAGGAAGTGTGAGCTGTCCTTTACTGTCCCAGACTGGTGGCACTGTTGGAGACAAGGGAGAGACCACTGCACTGGCTGACCTGGTTAGACTGACAGAAAAATTGAGCATAAGATAAAACATTGTTCAGTGTTGAAGACCAGAATGGAAAACAGTTCAATATGAGCATTACAGCCTGCTGTTCAAATGTCATTCTAGATTCTCCATCAAAAGACTGAATTATAAAGGACCCACATCCTACATTGTTCATGTATGTTTTCACTTAAGGTTCATGTACTATGCTTCTTTGGATTAATGCACCAAAAACAATCATATAATTCTTTTTTTACATTTGATCATTTACCATTCTCTATTTATCTCTTAGAATTAAATAGGCTGTTGCTACTGTGCCTCTAAGACTGCTTTTGGCTGACCTATTTTGTGCCACATCGATGCAGTCCTTGTCAAACCCCTTATAATTTCACTGTGAATGGGTGGGGTTAAACTGCTGTAGGCTAAATGGGTGGACATATGTAAATACACTGGTTTTCCTGACATCCCAAAAACAGTGAATTCAATATAGACTGATTTTCGAGCTTAGTTTCCATACATAGACTGTATAGAGTTGGGGCAGACTTTTGAGTTCATGCTTGATGAGACGTATTCAGGTATCCAGGATATGGACCCTTTAAAAGCAGCTGAAGGTGCTGCTGTGATGGCTCATACTGATGCAGCTGTCCATGGTGCTGAAATAAGACCTTGCGATGCAGCAGAGCTATCCATGGTTCTGATATATTGAACTCTAATTGTAGTAAAGCTCACTGACAGTTTGGAGAAAGTATGTAAATTAGATTTTAAATGCTCAGAGATGCCTGTGGGTCTGAATTTGTGGGTGTTAATGTGATATAAAGAGCTAACAGCATAGAAAAAAACAATTATGTAAGTGACCCTCATTTTAGTAAACACACACACACACACATGCACACATATACACACTGGGGGGCATAAGGGCATGTTTGTGTTGCTTAATTGGAAGAGCTTCATTACAGAGGATCAGAGAGCAGATGGATAACTTTCCCCTGAGCCAAAAACAAGTTTAAGTACTGCATCTTTCTCTGTCTGTCTCTCTCTCTCTCTCTCTCTCTCTCTCTCACTCACATGCACACACATACACATACATATACAAACACACTTCCACACATTCATCTCATCTAACAGTTTTCTCAAAATGTTATGGTACACAGCTACTGTGAAAAAGTCAGACACCACCCTTTATTTAATTTCCAATCAAATCAGCCATAAAGTATGAATCACTGTCAGGAAAAAACAGAAAACATGCATTTAACAGAAAATTACACAGAGGCTTCAACAACTGAATACAGTATGTATGTATTCAGTACAGCTTCCATTATTTTCACCAGGCTGTCAGTTATTTAAAGAAATCTGCAGGCATATTTTTCCGCACCTCCAACAATTAGTAGATTAGAAGTTGGTTGCATTTTCTGCTTCTCACAATCCAAGTAATCCCAAAAACTTTCAGTGATATTGAGGTCCGGACTCTGGGTTGGTCATTTCTTTGTTCTGAGAGTACCATCAACTTCTTTGTTTGATTTGCAAATAGTCTTCTTTTCTACGTAACAGCTTCTTTACAGCTACACATCCTTTCAGACTCATAGTGTTGCGCCGTCTGAAGGAAGAGTGGAGCTTGATTTTCTTCTGCCTTTCAGAGATGAATGTTTTAAGTGCTGTTTATCTGATGGCATGGATGGTCTGGCTATCAGGAGGACTAGGACTATTTCCAGTGGGCCACTGTGGGAGTAGTGGGCTGGTCTAAACAGAAAAGTCCTAGCCTGAATTTAGTTTCCAGTCCTGCTCTGTCTGACTGTGACAGTGTTGGTGGTCTACCAGGGCTTGCATGGTTGTTAAGAGTCCCGTTTTCTCGGTATGTTCATTTTTCAGTCATTTTTCGACCTAAGGTTTTATGGAAGTAGTTGATCTCATATCTAATCTCTTCAGAAATATGTCTTTCAGCTAATTTAGATGCATTTGAGAAAGAAATGTACAAAGCAGCTAAACTGAATTTAGGTAGTTGCTTTTGTGAATGTCAGTGTCACTTTGAAGGGCAACATAATCAGTGAGAGCTTGAAGAGCAGCTTTTGTTTGGAGGACACAGCTGTAACTCAGTTTTATTGGAATGATGGAAGATCTTAAGTGGCAGTAGTGAAGGACGAAAGTAAAGACTGAAATTAAATACAGATAGATTTGACATTATATTTGGTTGTTGTATTTAGCTTTTGTGTAATTTTCTGTTAAATGTATCTTTCCTGCTTCTTTTCTGAGGCTAGAGAGTAAATAACATGTATTTAATGGCTGTTTTGACTAGAAAATCAATAGACAAAGGGTGGTCTCTGAGTTCTATACACCACTGTATTTGCACATATTTCCTTACTGTCTTCCATATACAGGATGTTCCACACATGCTTATACTTACTTAGAGGAACACACACGCACACACGCGTACGCACACACACACACACACACACACCCCATTTGCTGTTCACAGCTTTGAGAGATTGAGGATGTGGTTCAGAATCTGCTGCATAAGATACCCATGGCTTTTAACGAGTGTATATGTTTGTGTGTGTATGTGTGTGTGTGTGTGGTCTCTAGGATTACAATAAGGCTTTTAACCAGTATGCTAGTGTGTGCGCATGTGTGTGTGTATACCCATTGTACTTTCCAGGGATGCAGTGAGGCTTTTAACCAGTGTGTGTGTGTGTGCGTGTGTGTGTGTGTGTGTGTGTGTATGTGTGCATGTGTGGTCTCCAGGAATGCAATGAGGCTTTTAACCAGTCTTAGCTGAGGTTACTTCTCTCCGTATTAATGTGAATTATTGATAATGAAATGTTGGGTATTGTGTGTAGGTGTGTGTGTGTGTTTAGGGAAAGTATTAGTGTTACTGTTACTGAAATGCAAACAGCTAGTCGTGTAAAACTTTGGAATGCTAGATTGAGGACACATTGATATGGGAATTGTGGGCCGATGCTGATATCCAATATTTTTCGTGTACATATCTGCCATTAGCAATGCCAGTCCATAAACATTTATATGAATGAATGCAGAAACTGGGACTAAATCTACCTGTTTTATTATTACAGATACTATATAATATTGCAACAAATGCAGTAAAATGAAGGAAATACAGACTGTTTAGCACAATAGCCTAAACATTCCACAATAAACACAATAAATAAATCATCAAATATCTGTTTGAAATAACAAATCTAAACACTTCTTAAACTTTTTCAGTTTTAAACTGGAGCGACACGGCTTGGTCCACTAGATTGTACAGTTATGTTGCAGATCGTTGTATCATGACTAGCATGTTAGCTTGTGGCTAGTGTGTTACCTTGTGGTTAACTCAACTTTTATTTTAAATATTGTTCTTTTAGAATGTTGAATGTGCAGTTATGTTACGAATGCAGACTGGGCGAGTTTACAGTTTATCCGGAGGTGGTAATCTTGAATATGACGAAAACAGAAAAGCATTTATTCAAGCAAATAACAGGGAACACCACCCCAATACCTCTAAGTTCAATTTTGTCTCTGTTACGGATGGCCCCTTTACCTTTATGAAAGGTCCAGGACCACCTGAGCCCTCCTTCAATTCGACCCCTGAATCTGGAAATTGTATAAATTAGATTTTTCACTGATCTATATCTTTAATATACATGCTGGTGGAGTGTGTGGCACACTGATACAGTACGTAACAGTAACATCTGTAATGTTTCAGACTTAATGAACTCAACTAATTTGCCAGAGTGCTCGCTATCTGAGACTGGCCACTGCACTCAGTTCACAATGGATATTTCTGTGATTCCTTACTGTAGTTTATGACTAGAATTCCTAATATAGCGTACTGTGTATGATTAGGCATGCCTGATTTAGAGACCTATTTATAGCCTGGAATGTTTGTTTTTGCTGTAGTGGATGCAGTACTGAATGGAGTGCAAAACAATCAGCCTTTCTTCATTAATCACAGAGTCTGATGAATTAAAGAGAACAACTTTGGTAGACTGTGCAGCCCTACAATCTAATGATGAGCCCCTCAATG